CCAAATAAACACCATACGCATATGTATATGTGTGTGTATATATATATATATACATATATATATATATATATACATATATATATATATGATTCTATTTTCTCTCTACTTTCTCACTATTTCTCTCACTAGTTAGGTGATACCTTCAACAAACATGGAAACTTCATGTAATTTTTCCTTTTCTTTCCAAATCCTTCTAGTGAATTAGGCGGTGGACATGAAAGAAGAGATAGATTAGCTAAAAGGTCAATTCACCATGGTGGTGTGGTGGTAGGAGGTGGCCGGCGGGGGAAGAAAGAGTATGTGAGTGGCCGATGAGGGTAATGGGGGTATTTTTGTTCTTATACAATTATGATATTTTAAATTAAAATTTTTTTTAAAAAATGAAGGTAAAAATGTTATTTCACACCCATTTTGACGGTGCCATTAATGGAAAAGTGATTTGGGGTGTGAGTGATATAATTTTTAGAAAGATATTTTAAAATAATATTTGACCAAATCTAAAGAAGTATCAGTGAAATTATTCCAGGAAATAAAAAATAAAAAATAAATAGTGCCGAATGTGTTAGGGTGTATTTGAATGTCCCTTGTATTCTATTCAGATGGTCTACGCTACCACTTACACAAATTGCTATCTCTGATAATTGTATTTTATTTATTTATTTTATTTTTTATAATGTTGACAAAAAAAGTTATACAATTACTTTGTCTACGTTAAAAGTTTGAACCTTCAATCTATTACTTTTAAAAAGTATTAATAAGCTATAACTCTAGGTAATCTTTAAGTCATTGAAGATTTGAAGTACTATTTATTTTACGTATACATGCACATATATGACATATTATGTAATATAATTATTACGAAGTTTCTAGTAACACCATGCAATTGAAAAATGCTTCAGGTCAAAATCACAGTTATTGTTTCTCTACTAATGTAGTAGCTGATGCAGACCGATACTAGTGACCGACCTACCGATTTAATTGGAAAGAAAAACATCCTTAGTGATGGACCGACCAATTTAATTGGAAAGAAAAAGAAGTATGAAATGGCAGTGTTATGAGACAATAACCTTAACGGGACGACTTTGCTAATTCTCAACGGGACGAGTGGTAAGTGGTAGACCATGTCAAAATATTAAAGTCAAGTCCGTGTTGCATTCTTATCCTCTTTTGTTTTGGAGTTAATTATAGTGACACGTCCTCAACATAAGGCATAAATGAAAATTACAATAAAAAGTAACACTCTTATTAACTTTTCGTTACTTACCAACGGGGAGTTTAAAAACGCATGAAATATCATATATGTTCTCACTTACAAAAGCATCTTAGGAAATGATCCAAATACGCTACCTTTAACTCTCGTTTTAACCAACCATCTCTTTCTGTCCAAATGATTCCATTTCTCTCTAGTCCACTTTCAGGAGAATATATTAGGTGGGCTATCAGAGTCGCCGATCTATTCCTGCTCGTATTATGCACAAACATATATGATTTGCCCGATGTGCACACCGGGCCATTAAAGCCTTTCGTTCCCATGCATATTGTACACGAACGACTATAATGTGCGCAGTGTGCACTAGGTGATTAGAGTCGTTCTTTCCCTTGCGTATTGTACACAAGCGACTATGATGTGCTCGGTGTGCATCGGGTCATTAGAGTCGTCCATTCCCGCGCGTTATGCATTAATGGCTCTGATGTGCCCGATGCACCCGGCACACCGAATACCTTTTCCACCATCGGCTACCCTTATCTCTCCACCACCACCACAGCCGACCATATCTCTCACACACATGCACATACGTACAACAAGGGGCAACTTTGGGAGATCAGGTTGTTGGGGAAGGTCAGCGATATGTTTAATGAATGCACCAAAATATTCACTACAATTGACAATCGGATTACATCGATGTGAAGTCCGAAAGCTAAATCGTGTAAGGCCTATGTGTAGTTGTGTGCCTTATAAGTTGTATTTACTTTCTTTGGAAAGAGAGCAGGGGCGGAGCTAGGGGTGGGCCAGCAGGGGCTATGGCCCCCCAAACTTTCTTAAAAATCTCATTATACCCTTAAATATTAATTACTTTGTAGGAATTGCTCCTAAAATTCATTACAAATTTCAATTGGCCCCCCAAATTTTTTCAAAACACTTGTATATTGTAGGGGTGCACTCGGTCCGGTTTTAAGGATTTTTACAACCAAACCACTCCATAAAGTTCCAGAAAATCTAAAACTGAACCAGACCATTTGAATCATGGAACTGAAACAGACCATTTGAATCATGGAATTGAACCAGCCCAAATCGTGAAAAAATGGTTTGGTTCGGTTCGGTTTCTTGGTTCTAGTTGATTTTTTTTCCCCTTAATTAAATTGTATATACAACAAAAATAAAAATAAAAGCATTTCACATTCCTGAATCCAATACTAAAATAAAGAAATAGACCCAAAAGTTAAACTCTAGAAATTAAAATAATGTTGAATCTTGTTGAAACTGAAAATGATGACAAATCCATAGTTGAAAATTAAGAAACTTGATTCGTTGTCATTGTTGGTCGTGCTTGACGTGCAAATATGCCGTGAAACTCAGATATCTGTGAACTGAAAGTGAGAGAGAAGGGGAGAGAGTATGAGAAAGGATGTCACCGACAATAACGATAAAAGATCAATAATGATGACCAAACTTTGAAGGATGCGTGGGAGAGATTGATCAACAACTAGATCCCGCGATGATGAGAACTAAGAAGTGAATAAGGCGGCATGAGCATACAAAAAAAATGAGATAGTGGAGGAATGTTGGCATGCACCCAAAAATCATAACATTGGGAGAAACAAAAGCAAATAAAAAAATTCAAATAACTAGAGATGAATATTGGCTCACATTTAATTATTGTGCCAAAATCCTTTGCAAAGTTAAGAGTAGTATATAGGTATAACTATATATATATATATCCATATAATAACGGTTCGGTCAGGGCTAGTCCGGTCCTGTAGGACCCTAATCCTGGACCGAACCAAAAATTCACGATTCCATTATTTTAGAACCATGACTGGACCGAATCGCCAAGGATCCAGCCCAAACGGTCCGATTTGGTTCGGTCCGGTTTAGTTTTTTGGATTGACTATTTTTTTGCACACCCCTAGTATATTGACCCAAAATAGAGAATTTGAAAATAATTTTAGTCCATGTCCCTTTAAAATTTAGTAAATTTACAACTTGAACTCTTTTAACTATATTTTTAAAAGCTGTTAGACAATCTGTTATGAGTTCCCTCAATAAGCCAAACTCATATGACAGTTATGGCTTATCCTCAATTGATTATAGTTTCCATCATAATTCAAACTCTTTGGAAACTAATAGATAACCTCTCATGTGATTGTAATCAAGAAGAGTAAATCTCCCGTTTGAATTATTGTTGTAAATATTTCTATACATCAAAGGATATACACCTAGAAAAGGTGCTCAGTTTTCTCTGTTAATATCAGCTTATTAGCTCTTCATGGTATCAGAGCCAGTCACTTTTATTCATTAAAATTTTCTCATCTTCTTCCACTCATGGCTACACCAACATCATCACAAGTTACTCTATCATTTTCTGGAGTACCAAACAGTTGCAATTAAACTAAATCGATCAAACTATCTACTATGGAGAAGTCAGTTACTTCCCATTTTTTATAGCACTGATATGCTGCATATGGTTGATGGCAGCACTTCGACACCAGAGCAAACTATTATGGAGAACTCCAAAGAAGTTCCAAATCCAAAATATTTGACCTGGAAAAAGAAGGATCAAATTTTTCTTTGTTGGTTACACGCCACTCTCATACCTCCGATGTTTGCACAAGTAGTGGGATACCAAACAGCTCGTGAAACTTGGGAAGCTCTTGCTCATTCTTTCACATCCCAAACCAGTGCTCAATATTATCAAATCAAATAGGACCTTGCAAATATGCGCAAGGGATCATCAACCATTACTGAATACATGAATAAGATTAAACAACTCATAGATGAGTTGTCTCTAATTCATTGTCCGATGTCTATGACAGATATTATTGGTTGTGTTCTCGACGGCTTGGATCTTGACTATGATGTAGTGGTTAACTCTGTCCAGTCTATGAAAGAGACACCGTCATTTGAAGAACTATACAATATGTTGCTGAATTGAGAAAAACGCCTTAAAATTTATCATCAATCAGCTGCTGATCGCACCAATACTGCCTTTGTTGCTTTCCAAAGTCGAGGTAGAGGCAACCGTGGTCGTGGACGTGGAAATAATTCTGGTGGAAGTAATTCTAGTCACGAAAATAATCGAGGGCGTGGTCGCTATAACTCTAACCATTCAACTAATGATACCTATCGAATCATACAAAAAAAAACAGTTTTTTACCACGCTTTTTTTACCACGGTTTTAAAAAAACTGTGGTAGAAGACCCGTTCTACCATGGTTTTAAAATAACTGTGGTAGAAAGTATATTTTTTACCACGGTTATTTTAAAACCATGGTAGAACACCTTTTCTACCACGGTTAATGAATAACCGTGGTAAAAAGTATATTCTTTTACCACAGTTTTAGAATAACCGTGATAGAAAATGAATTATTTTTAATGTAATTTAGGCAGATCTTTCTATCACGGTTTTAAAATAACCGTAGTAGAAAGTATATTCTTTTATCACGGTTTAAAAATAACCATGGTAGCAAGTATATTATTTTACCACGGTTTTCAACCATGGTAGTAATTATATTTTTAAGCACGATTTTAAAATAACTGTGGTAGTAATTATATTTTTTAGCACGATTTTACAATAACCGTAGTAGAAAGTGAATTTATTTCACTCAATTTAGGTGGGCCTTTTCCCTCTCTTTCTATCACGGTTAATGAAAAATCGCCTTAGTAATTTATTCTACCTCGGGGGTTGCACCGTGGTTGAAAGTGAAATTCTGTAAGCGGTCTTATTCCCGCTAGTTTCTTAAAAAAAAATTCAGCGTTTCAATTTTAGGGCAAATCATTTCAGCCTCGGCCTCCCCAATCGCCTCCATCTCTATTCTCATTCTCAACTAATTCAGCGCTTCAATTTTAGGGCAAATCATTTCAGCCTCGGCCTCCCCAATCGCCTCCATCTCTATTCTCATTCTCAACTCTGAACTTGCCCTCTTTTTGTCCCTGCAACTACAAAATCTACAAGAATCAAACCCATATAATTCAGTTTATCTATCTGTCTGTAAGAATCAAAATTTCAAAACCTATTGCCTATATCAAAACCCATATCGGCATATCATTTCAGATTGTTCAAAAAATCGACACCCATATCCTTCAGTTTCCATTGCCCGTTGTTCTAGTTTGAGTTCGCCGTTCGCAAGCTTCAGCTGCTGGCCCGCTGTCTTTCAACTCTCAAGCCCCTCTCTCTGCACTACTTAAATCTCTACAATCAATATATATATATATATATATATATATATATATATACATATATATATGTATATATATTTTGACTGCGTACTCAAACCCTAATCTCTCTCTTGACTACAAACATTCCTCATATTAGGTCCATATTCTGTTCCGCCTCAGCTCATCCTTTGCCCATAATCTTTCATCTTTACACCCTAGCCATAGCATACAATTTTAGCCGCCATCGAATCCGCAACTGATCGGAACAACGAATTCAACGGTAAAACCACGATTTTCAGCGACGTACCTCTCCATTTAGCGCATCAGAAGGTTCCATTCTACCCATGGGTTCGGATTTGGTCAGTGGTTGATTCGTTCTTCGATTTGGGGATTTTGTAGTTTTAGTTATGTTGCATTTCGCAGAGGGTTTTTGCCTCTGATTCGCACTTCTCTTGGTGGTTGCTTTTGTTCGATCTTGGAGATTTCGGACAAATCTCGTTGTATGGTAAGCCCAAATTCGAATAGATAAAGGAGCAATTACAAGTTATCTTGGAGCTTAAGCTTCGCCGGCCCAAATTCGAAGAGACAAAGGAGCAAGTAAGAGTTACCAGTGAGTGTTTGGCATAAATCATTGTTTGTAATGAAATGAAGAGGATTTTTTATGAAGAAAAAACAATTTGCTTAGATTCATCAATTTTATTTGGTTGCAGGTTGTGAGGGAAAGGAAGAGGACATTGTTGTTGCTCGTGGTCTCTAGGAAGAAGAGAAAAACAGAGGGGAAAGGAAGGAAGAAAAAAGGGTATAGACTATAGGCATTTCATATCATCATCTTCAACTTGTCATCTAATTGGTAAGGATTTTAGTAGCTTAATTATGCTGCTTTGAGATAATTTCTATAATTATTTCCATTCCTTTTCTATTCTGAATCCCATATTTGTTTACCATTAAATATTGTAAATGCTTAAGTTTGTGTTCCGTTCGGGAGTAATAGAGATCTAAACTGTGCATCAAGATAGAAGCATATTGTATAATCATACAGGAACATGTCCTATTATTTCAGATTATCATGATACTTTTGCGTTCTGTTTTCACATAGATGGTTTTTACTGTCTGTCAATCTGAAATCTAACTGCCTTTTTTCATATTGTCTTATTTCTTTTATGACAGTGTGTATCCTCTCACCAAGAAACAAAAATGTCATTTATCAAAGGTAATTCCTTGGTTATTCCTCTTTTCTTTTCTTTTTCTTTTTCTTTTTTCTTTTTTCTTTTTTATGATTGTCACTTGGATCTAGCAAGTTGAGACCTGCTAAAAATTTACAAGCAATATCTATAAATAATATATGTACTTCATATGCAAAATAAATTTTAAGTATCTAGGTGGACTTGGTGCAATTGCATCCTTTTTGCAACAAGAAACAAAGATGCATGTATCACTCAATTTTGCTTATTTTTCTTTCTCATTTCATGTATAATTCTTATCATGCTATTCTAGGTGATCCTCTAGCTATTCGTTGATGCTAGATTCAGTTGTTGACTATGCACAATGAATAGAAATTATGGTATTAACTTTTAGCATAGTTCTTACATATATATATGCTATTTTTTCCAACATTTAAAATTGTCATGAGGCATTTTTCACTCCTCACCTGTTTCCATATAAAATCATTGAATCTGAAAATAATCTGTCAGTGGTGGTCCTAATGGAGCACAATATCTTACATTTTTGAATTCCTGGACATACTTATATGTTTAAAGGTAGTTCTAGATATGAATTATTGCATTAGCATGCTATATAGCACGTCTGTATCTAGGACTGTCCTGTAGGGGTAAGAATTTGTATTTTCAAGAGATTTATTTATTCCTTATTACTTAATAACAAAATATTAGAAGCATGAAATCATGAGTTAAATGAACAAACTATAACCAAGAACTGAAGCTTCCCTTCATCTAGAACAAGTGGCAAATTAGGAAATTGTCACCAAATGTAGGACAAAAACTTAATTCTAGAACTTTGTCACCAAATATAGGAACTTGTCACCAAATGTAGGCTAATTTTCAGTACATTGACAATATTTTCCTAGAAAAAGATTTCCTTCTCTTAAAAATAGTCTCATAAATCCTAGTCAAAAACTTAATGGATGAGTGGTCACTTGGAATCCAAGTACCAGCTGTCCTTTAATACTAGATTTTATTATTCTTCAACAAAGATTTTGAATGAAATTAATGATCCCAACTTTTATTGGATTTCTTTAAATGTTAAGTGATAAGAGATATGAGAGATAGCTAATATGGTCCCAAATTGAAGATTTTATACTAAATTGCTAGAATTACCAATATGCTTAGTCCAATGCATCAAGGCAAGGATGGTTCAAAAAATTCAGAGACTTGTACATAAAAAAAGAGATAGGATTATTCTCAGCCTCCCAACCCTAGCAAAAATGCATCTTTCAGGCCCCATCCATGTGTAATTAAGCAAATGGTTTGAAGTCTCTATTGTGCAAACATTTTTCTATTTCTTCTTCTTTTTTAACCACCACCAGCCATGCCTTTTTGAGATGGCCATAGAAAAATTCCCTCTATCATCCGTGTATAATGCTTACTTTGTTTGGTTTAATTTTGGCAACTTTACAACTTGCTTTACATTCTCTTACTTCAACTATTACATTTTGTAGGTCAAAGCTAGGATTACGGGATTGCGGTTCCCGTTACTTTTTTTGTTGCTGTTATATTTTTGTATGGCTCATGATCAAGAAGTTGCATATATGGAAGAGAGAGACTAAAACAAAGCAAGAAGATATGAAGAATTTTTGTTTCATTTTGGTTAAGTAAAGATATAAGATGTGGATAATGTACTTCTTTGAAATTTGTATATATTTTTGTATAAAACCATGATTTGGAATTGGTTATATATATATATATGATGTTATTGGCCAAGTTATTTTGGTTATGATGTTATTTTTTATTTATAAGATTTGCTTATGGGGTCTTTGCAAAGCTAGTAGTAGGGCAAAAAAAAGGCCTCATGGGGGCTTTACACTAATTTTTTTAAAAAAAAATTATATAACACTTTTTACCACGGTTTTGCACCGTGGTAAAAAGACTTTTTTTCTACCACGGTTTTGCACTGTAGTAGAAAAAATACTTTCTACCACGGTTCTGCACCATGGTAGAAAATAGACTTCCTACCACGGTTTCGCCCCGTGGTAAAAAGAACCACTTTCTACCACGGTGCGGAACCATAGTTGAAAATAGACTTTCTACCACGACTGTTTCTACCACGGTTTAAAACCGTGGTAGAAAGCCTTTTCTACCGTGATAAAAAGTCATTTTTCTTATAGTAGTCCCACTATTATTTGTTAGATTTGCAATAAACCAAGTTATGGTGCCTTAAAATGTCACAATCGTCATAATTATTCCTATCAACCAGAAGATTTGCCAGCTGCATTTTCTGCCTTGAATGTGTCAAGTGATCCATATGATTGCACATGGTATCCTGATACTGGAGCGACGAATCACATAAGTTCTGATGCATCTAACATGATGAATCAACAAGATTATACTGGGACAGAACAAATCACAGTGGCTAATGGTAATACTTTGCATATCAAATCTATTGGAGACTTACGTTTATCTACTCCTCCTTCTACTTTTTTATTGAAGGATACATAACATATGCCACAAATTAAATCTAATTTTTTATCTGTTTCTTATTTTGTCAATGACCATGATTGTGTTTTCTTCTTTGATCGTCATGGTTTCTACATTAAGGATCGACGCACGGGGAAGGTCCTCCTACGCGGTCCAAGTGAAAGATCTCTTTTTCCTCTTCATACTCAAATGTTTGATGCAACAATTCTACATTTGTTTGCTGGTTTAACAACAAAATCTTCTCCACTAGAGACTTGGCATAAGCGTCTTGGACACCCTCATCAACTAGTTCTTACTCATATCTAATAATAAATTGATTCAAGTTTCTGGTATTTCTAAGTTGTCTTCTTGTTTTAACTGTTCTTTAAATAAAAGTTCTCGCTTGAGTTTTCAATTATCCAATCATCGTAGTGTTAATGTTGGGATTTATATGCCCTGGCATAGCAAATTCCTATTTGGATTATAGTGACATATGTTCCTGACGTTTCTGAAATATTTATACTTTATACAATTGGTGAATTCAATGTATTATGCTTCGATTTATTATAGAATTGATAGTGTCCACTTGATTACAAGAGATATTTTTTTATGTATGTGATGGCGATCAATATATAAATATAAATAGTAATCATAAATTGGTCAAAGTCGGTAATTATGGATGGACTCATAATTAATTAAGACTTAAACTGGATCTACGTTAGGTTGAGATATATTGCGATAGCCGTCGTATGTAATTACTCCCTATCACCATTATGGCATTTGACTCTTAAGCATGAGAAAAGTATAAACTCTTTTATTAATTAATAATTACTTTAATTTGTTTGTCGGATACTTCGGGATCCTTAGACCAACACTTTGGGTAGTTATATAATTAATAGTTAGAGGGTTATATTTTCAATATTTGCATCATTACTACTTGTATTTATTTTGTATTGATTATGGTTGATCACAAAGTAAATTCGAAAGCTTTCGTGTGTTTTTAAATAAAATTATTTATTATATATTTATTTATTTAAATTATAATTTTTGTCAAACAAATGTTTTATTGTGATTAAGTCAGATATAATCAATGTACCAATATAAATATATTAATTAAGTAGTCGGATTGATGGCTTTATTTATCTGATAACTAATTATGCATAGAGGGGTCAAAGTGCAACATTGACTTAGAGGTTATTTATTATTTAATTGGAGTTCAATTAATTTCTTTTAGTGGAGTAGAAATTAATTGAATTAGGTCCAAGGACCGGACCAATTATTAATTCATTGTAGCCAACAAAATAATAAGCCCAAAGGATTCTCACTCATAGCCCAACTTAATATTGGAATCCTATTAGATTTGAGACATGTGAATTAGAGATTGAGAAGGATTTATTGTTTCATTTTCTTTATTTTTATGTTGCCTATATATATACATGGTCTATGTATATTTAGGTGAGATTTTTTTGAAGAAGGAAAAATGAATATATTTTCTCTCTCTAGAAAATTAGGAGTAATGTTCTCATCTAATGGAGGCTCCCACAAGTCTAGTTTTTCAAGGTCATTCATGGAGGCTTATGAGTGATTCCTAAAGGCAAAATAATTACCAAGAAGATGGAGATCCAAGGAGAATGCATCTTGCTAAGGGATTTACAATAAGTGAGAACATTCACTTCAAAGGAAAGATTTAAAGGTTTACTCAGACCTTTGATGTAATTATTTAATCTGTTAATTGAATGAAACATCATATTTTATTTTTGCATAAAACTTGTCTCTATGTGATGAATCAAGATCTATGTATGAAAATCCCTCAGAAAGTTTTTAAAACTAGCACGTTTCCCAACAGTGGTATTAGAGCATGGTTTGATTCATTAGTAGATATCATGATTTTATGAAAATCATCATTCATGGATCCAAAATTATATTCATATATATTTTTTTATTGATGTATGTTGATATATGTTGATACATGATGATATATGTATAATTATGAATGAATGATGATGTATGGTTTGGCCATGGATGAAGCTTATAGGTTAAATAAATGTAATTTTATCTTTGAATGAATGTAATTAAGGCTTTGATTTAGCCGTTTGAAAGTTCAATGATGTAATTTAATTTTTTTCATTGTATTTCAAATTGTAAATTTATTAAAGCCATATAATATTCATCAAATGATGCTTTGAAGCTTCAAGAAGGTCCAAGAAGGTTTATTTTGGCTTCAGGAATTTTCTGGAATTTTTAAAAAATTTTCTAGAATTTTTTGGGCCAAATAATAATTTCTGGAATTTTTTAAATGATTTTCTAGAATTATGGGTGATTTTCTGGCGACCGGAGAGTCGCCGGCGCCGAGGGCAGTGCCGGAAATGAGGATGTTTGTTCCAACGCTTCGCAGTGCACCATCATATGGTGCAACTGCAATTTCAGCCACAGGATTTATCATCAAAGGGGAAAAGATCAAGTGTTTCGCGGCTATGGGTGCGCTCCATGCGCACCCAATCAACAAGGCGCGTGAGGTGTGTTACAGCGCGTTACACGCGCTGCTCACTCCCACACATGCGTGGGAGAGCGTGAAAGACCCTGGCATTTCCCTCCAGCGCGTGCAGGCGCGTGGCACGCCCTGGGAACTTTCACAGGCGCGTTCTTGGGTTCTAATTGTGTGTAGGGGCATCCAGGGTCATCCGATGGTGAGTAGGGTCATGTACTAACTCTCTACAGGTGTTAACAAGCCGTTGGTGAATGCCCATACAACAAGAATAGTATTTAAATGTTAAAAGCTGAATCCATTGGCCATTTAAATTGCTTCTGTCTGTGATTTAATTATTTATGAAATGCATAGAATAGATAATTATTAATTAATTATTGTTCATGCATTGGATCCATGATATTTAATTAAATGACTTGATTTATATTAAATTATTAAAATTAATTAAATTTTATTACTATTTAATTTGAGGGCACTTATTGGGAAATGAAAATTTATTTTTCTAAATTATTTTTAAAATAAAAATTATTTTTAAAATGTGCTTCAAATTAAAAATTAATGAATTATTTAAAAGTCCAAATATTTTCTAAATTTAATTGGATTAAGATCAAGGCGTTTTGCATGCATTATATGATGTAAATGAATAAAATGAAAATCCTAATGATGAATGATTAAAAAATTGAGTGGGAGCGGGGATTTTAATACATTACCCCACGGCCTTCGTTATTAAAATCATTGTAATTATATCTTCAAAAAGAAGGCCCTACGCACGATTTGAAGAGTCTTAATATTACAAGAATGGTTATCTCATGAGAATAAAAATATTAAATATTCATTGTAATTAGATTTTTAAAAATAAGGCCCTACGCATGATTTAAAGAGTCTAGATTATAATGACAAGATATTTAATATTTTATTTTTCATTAAAGCATTAATAACGTTATACACTCAATCTAAAATCAATAGTGTTAGCTCCCCAACGGAGTGATCTACACTAGGTGATTTTAGAAAGGCTAAACATAATCGGGAATCATTTCATATAGATAGACAAGGCATTGTCTTAAGAGATATGGAAATGATGGGATTTGCCCGCCAATAGCAATAATGAATTTCGCCAACCAAATAAGTTATTGGCATATTAGTTATCCGATTTTTCATGCGGTGGTTAAGGGACCCACATATTATTATTTTAATGGAAGTGCTTACCTAATAGCAAATGAATCCTAACAATAGTAATAATGAACTACTCCATCAGGATAAGTTATTGACGTATTGATTATATGATTTATTATGCTACGAAGTTGAGGGACCCGCATTAATTAAAAGGGATTGTTCACCAATAATGATAATGATCTCTTATTTTAATTGAGATTTATTATATTATGTGGTTAACAAACTCATTTTAATTTTAAATATGCATGATAGTATTAATAATTCACCTTGTATATTATATGAATGCATTTATATTCAGATAAATTATGTATAATCCATTTTATCTGTTTGGTAACATATTCAATGTATTTGGACCTCATTTATATTGACTAGAAAATAAACTTAGATATTTTACTCACAACGTAAGTGTACAAAATGTATTTTCTACTCCTAAACCTAATCCTTTTACTTTAAGATACCCAAGAGAACATTAATACTTTTAATAAGTGAAATAAGGCAAATAATAGGACTTGATACAATATTCTAGAGTTTTTCTCGAATACGCTCCAAAGCTAACATTTGCATTATTTTATTTTCTTCAAACATCATGTTAAAAATCAATGAGATGTTTTGGTGAGATTAGATAAAGTTTATGTATTAGTACTATGTC